CTTAGTTTAACATATTCTACGACTTTTGTTTAGATTGCTAAGGCTAAAAAGTCTTCTATCGTAAATTCACTATTTACGTCTTCCGGTGCCGTGCTGGTTTTGCCGTAAAACTTCGGCGGGCCATAACTTCTTCGTTATAACTCTGATTTCGGCGTTCTTTATACGTACGGAAACCTTGTGACATATTCTAAAACTTGGTTAAGAATATTCATTCTAAATAATCTTTTGTTGAAAAGTCATTTTTGACCCCTATTGCCTCTAAATTAACTAGCCCGGATCTGCGGGCGTTACAAAAACCAACTAATTAACAAACAAGTTGTGCTGAAGCCCAATTATTTAATAGACCAAAACAAAAGACAAGCCCACTTCAAAAAAGACTTTTTTTACACAGAAATTCGATTTTGACACCATGTTTTTTTTATGTCAATTTTGACACTGTGTTTTCCAATTTGTTACAATTTTGACCACTTGACCGGTTAACCAGGTTACATTTTATCAATTTTTTATGTCAATTTTGACACTGTGTTACAATTTATCAATTTTTTCAATTTTGTCTATTTTTCATTTGAAACCGTATAAATATATTTTTTTATTACATTTTAAACCGTATAAACATATTTTTTTTCGTTTAAAAACCACATTTTTATTTAAATACAAGATTTTTTTTTCTTACATTCAAAACATTAGTTATATCATGAGAATCAAACTAACCATAAACTTCTAATAAGCTGTAAAAATTTGATGGGTTGCAAACTTGATATTTGAGTTTTGATCGACTACACGCCTCCAAACCTCCAAACACATTTTAAAGTTGCATATTTAATATAAAATACAATTTTTATATAACTAATACATACTTATATATAAAAATATGGTTTGAGTGTAAAAAAATGTATTTATACAAAACTATGGTTTTTAAATGAAAAAAAAAACATATTTATACGGTTTAAATGTATTAAAGAATATTTATACGATTTCAAATAGAAACTTGTCAACATTGAACAAAATTGGAAAAAATGATGTTCGATTTGGAACAAAAATACATAGTGTCAAAGTTGAAAGAAAAAATTAAACTTAGTGTCAAAATCGAAAAAAATGAAAACTTAGTGTTTTTTGTGAGAAAAAAAATTCAATTTTGACACGTCAGCATGTAACCTGGTTAACCGGTCAAGTGGTCAGAATTGTAACAAATTGGAAAACACAGTATCAAAATTGACACAAAAAATAACACGGTGTCAAAATCGAATTTCTGTGTAAAAATAGTGTTTTTTGTATCATTTACCTTATTTTCTTTTATTGCAACACTAATGAAAGGGGTGCAACTATCACAATCCCATATTAATTCAACAAGTTTATAAGGAGATAAACTAATTTACCATGAAAATAAGTTGAAGTAGATAAATCAATTTACCTCAAAAGCAGATTTAACAGTGTAAAGAAAACACAAGAAACAGATACAACATGCAAGATCCGTGTATTACTTTGCCTCAACCCTATTGGGTCAATCCTCGTGTTTGGGTTAGCCCAAGTTTAGTTGAGTCTGCTAGAAATAAGACCCATGCCAAGAGTCGAAGACTTAGTAACCCGGATTACTTGGTGTCTCACCCTTCTTCTTTGTGTTGAACGCAAAATTAGGGAACGTTGCAATTCCGTTTGTTTTTCAGTATTTCCAGTTGTTTTCTGTTGTTTATTTTCAGCTTGTAATGCCTATAAAAGGCCTCATTATTCTTGAATAAGATCATCAGAAATTGTGATTTTATTTTGTTATCACACTGGTGCGAACAAATGATGCCTTAAAATTGGCTTCTGAATTCTGTCTCCATGTAATTCGAACTGGACAGAAAAAAAAAAAAAAAAAAAAAAAAAAATCATAATTTGATTAAACAAAACCCATGAAGAATTTAGATGAATCAACACAAGTACCTTACTGACAATCATAAAAATACTCAATTGATTCATTCGTGATTATTTACATCAAACAAAACAAAACCCTAGATTGAAAATTTTGGGGTTTTGAGTTTTAATCCTACATACCTTGATTACAAATAATAATAATAAGACATGAAAAGAATTAAATATAACACTAATTTAACTGATATATCTGCTTACCACAAAAGGATCTAAGGATTTGTTATTGTCAGAATACACCATCTAATCAGGGTAAATCAATCGTTACTACCAAACTTATAAAAAGTGTCATTTTTAGAACATGTATGATGTTTAATAGTTTTTAATTTTTCACTTTTTCCTCAGCAATAATAACATGCACATCAGAATATATGGATAAAAAAAGTTGATTGAGTATTCCCAGATGCTAGTAGTTAAAAAAAAAACTCTGAATCTATTTGAAAAAGTTAAAACTTGTATCAGCAACAAACAAACAACATATAGCACTGACACTAAATTAAAAATAAAGTGCTTTCCACTTCGATAGATTCAGAACTATATCATATATTTCCATCTAATACAAAAAATAATCACATGAAAAGATAACTAATTGTTAATGTATATGTAAAGAAGATATTCTTAAGTTGATGAATTCAAGTCCCTAAATTGTTTCAAAGAAAGTTTGAAGAAAGAATACATATATTGCTTGCATTAGGAGGTTGAAATGTTCAAAAACCATCCGATGAATGAAGTGCACTGAGGTCACCAGAACATCATCAAGATGTAATAAGTAAGGGTAAAATCGTAAAACATAATTTGGACAAATCTATCACAGAAAAAAAAAAATCATTAACATTGGTAAACATAAAGTGTATATAGGTGTTTCTTTGTTACACTAATATTTTGGGTTCATAAACATAAAATATTACAAAAATGTAATATTTATTACTGTTATTATCGATTTTAGTACATACCACTAGAAATTGTAAAAGTCGTGATTATCCTTTTGTTACACATAATTACTGTATATTGGATCCAAAAAATATAAACTTTCTTGTTATGTAACCAGCTCTCACCCCATAATTGAATGAGTTGATGTTGGAGTTTATAGTTTATGCCAGGAGAATATGTATGTCTTAATAGTGCTAGATTAGAGGGTGCAGAAATATTTGCATTTCGTATAGCAAGTCACTTTGTTATTTTAGAGGTATTCAATTTATGATTTTCCAAATGAAAAATTAAATCTTCTCCTATTTTTTGTTCCTACAAATTTTCCTACCTAATTAAATAGTGATATATGTAATATTTAATTCTCATTTAATGATATTTAAATATATTAATATGATACATATCATCATTTAATTAGGTAGGAGGATTTGTAGAACAAAAATAAGAAGATATTTAATATCTATTTCCAAATTTACTCAGACCAATATCACAAAATATGAAAATATGAAAATAGAAATTATGTTATTGGTTTTTTAAAAGTTACGAATTTAATTATTTTTAATATAAGGTCAAAGTATAAAATTCATAGCATCGTTCTTTTACTTTTCATGTAAGAGCATTGTACTTTGGAAAAAAATGAAAGTACAATGCTATAATGAATGCTATTGAAAGTATGATATTATAATTATACAATAAGTCTTGGGGTTAGAGGTCAGATTAATCAAAGGTCAAATATACACATAACCACACATAGTAACAAACACATTTACACAGCATGCATGCAGTGCATATGTGTGTGTGACTATGTAAGTGTCTCTTTTCACCCTTATTTGTAAATGTTTAATTTTTATATTTTGTTTCATAATATTGTTCACGTGAACATTTTATAGCATTGTAATAATTGTTACATCAATAACTCTTTTAAAATAAAACATCATATTCACACAACATCATCTTGACTTGGAGGTGTTGCATCATTTTCAACCGGATGTGGCTGGCTCGCACATGTTCCTATCGGTGTCTCTTGCCTGCAAAAGGTTATTTGAAAACAATTTAGTAAGAACAATTGAGTAAATGCATAATCATAAAAGGAATAAAGACAATTTTTATGTTAGACACCCAATCTTTAAAAATATTTAAAAAATACAATTTAATATAAACAATTAAGCAAATGCATAATCATAAAACGAATAAAAAACATTGTTTAGGGTCCTTATGAAAAACAATATATATATATATATATATATATATATATATATATATATATATATATATATATAGGGTTAGGTTCATTTGAGACCACCTATATTTTGTGAGACCGTGAGACGCATTTTTTTATTTTTTTTTATTTTTTTTATTTTTTTTAGTTAATTCATGTTCCGAAAATAATATTTAAAAAAAGAATTTTTTGATTTTTCCATTTATTTTGCATTTTAAAATTATTTTTAGAATATGCACAGTGTAATATTCTATTTAGAATATTTCACGTATTTTTCAAAAAAAATAGAATTTTTTTTTTTTAAATTTTTTTTAGTTAATTCAAGTTCCGAAAATAATATTTAAAAAAAGAATTTTTGGATTTTTCCATTTATTTTGCATTTTAAAATTATTTTTAGATTTGATCTCACGGTCTCACAAAATTAGAATGGTCTCAAATGAACCTAAACCTATATATATCTAAATTATGTCTATGCTAATATAAGCATAATACTTTTAACGCACGTTCCATATTCAAACCACTACTACAAAATGTATCTAAATTATGTCTATGTATCTAAATTATGTCTATGCTAATATAAGCATAATACTTTAATAAACCAAACAGATAGTTGGAAATTACCCATTCTTCGCGTGGAACATAATCCCTGCATACCATATATAATAATCAATAATATAGATGATCATGCAAGCTGATCGATGAATTCACTAAAACTCTCAAAAAGCTAATGTGAACTCATTGACAATTAAAAAAAAAAGATACAACATTCACTCCAAGAAGATAAAACCGCGTAAATGCAAATATATCTGGTTACTAAATTCTTCATTTTCTCCTTTTTCTTGATTTAATGGTGTGATGAGTCGAGCTCCACTAATATTAAACAAAAGAATCTATGCTTTTACTACCATTAAAATGGTCTCAGCTACTACTATATATAAACCCATAGGATACAACGATCATATATGCAGAAATGGAGATTAAGATTACTTTGCTAATCATCGTTACTTTGAGTTTAATCTTAATCCCAGTTGCTAAATCTCAATTGCAATCAGGGTTTTACTCTTCTACGTGTCCCAAAGCTGAAGCTACTGTGAGGTCTACTGTTGAAACACACTTCAAGAATGATCCTACTGTTGCTGCTGCACTTCTCAGGCTCCATTTTCATGATTGCTTTGTTGAGGTACTAAATTACTTAAAATGGTATTTTCGTAATCGATAAATTTTTTAACTTTATTAATGGGTTTTCCTTGTTAGGGTTGTGATGGGTCAATCTTGATTAAGGGTGGTTCTGCTGAGATTAATGCAGTGCCTAATCTTGGATTAAGAGGATTTGAAGTCATTGATGATGCTAAGTCACAATTAGAATCTTTGTGCCCTGGTGTCGTGTCTTGTGCGGATATTTTGGCCTTGGCTGCTCGTGATTCAGTTGATTTGGTAATCACTTAGCTAGGCTACATTTGTACACGTGACACAATGGACAAAACTGAACCGAACTGAACTGAACTGGATTAATTTCTAACAACTTTTTGTCAGAGAAAAAATTCCAAATTCTTACTCACTCACATCGGTTTAAGTGTCAGTATATTGCACACCAAACACAATACAACATCTTAACTCTAACTCACACCTAGCATGCTTTATGTCACGTGTTTGTAGAGTAGTGGTCCAAACTGGGCAGTACCAACAGGGAGACGTGATGGTAGAGTCTCATTGGCGTCTAAAGCATCAAACTTACCATCACCGTTAGATTCTATTGACGCCCAAAGGCAAAAATTTGCGGCTAAAGGCCTTGATGATCGTGATTTGGTGACATTAGCCGGTATGTCAAGAAATATTACTTTGCTACTCTAAAAGTTGTGTTTATGATAGTCAAGACAATAGCCACATAGAGTAGCGCACTTGATTCAAAAGCAGGGGAGGTTTTGTTATGGTGCTCGTAGTGGCAGCAGCAACGCCTGATTTTTCCGTACGTAGCTAAAAAATTTCGAATTTTTTTTTTTCTACTATTGTGTCACTACTTAAATTTTCTATGTCACTCCTATTATGAAAGTGTGCTCCTATTCAAAAGTGGTATCTTTGCAGAAACATGTGAAGGTTTGAGCCAGCAACAACATTGTACTTTGTGGGTGCTCCAATTCCAATGTGGATTGACCTACTTCTAGCTATTAGGCTCTTAGACTATCCTTATTTCTAATCCAACCCAACCAAAATATCTATTAAAAAACTATATTCTTTATCTTCCACATACACAAACTAACTAAGCATAAACTTCTATCCATATTAGCAACCCAACCCAATCCATTATTTTATTTTTAAAAAACATTCAAAAAATATATCAACATTAGTCTCATTGTGTAGAGAATTCTTTTTTATGTATTTTAATATATTTTATTTAATTTTAAAATTAATATTTTTATAAAATAAATGAAATAAGAGAGAGAGATGGTGAACTATGGTGAGCTAGGTTGTGTGGGCAATCCGTTCACACCCTTTCTTTTCTTTTTATTTATTTTTTTTAATTTTTTTGGGTGAGCGATCGTGAGCTATTCACCAATGGGGATGTGTATCTAACTTACATAGTAGGATAGTGTGGGACCAACTCTTGGGTTGTTGAAAGAATAATTATTCTGCGAATATGTTTAAGATAGTATTTTGTTATGTAGGTGCACATACGATTGGCCAAACGGATTGTAGATTCTTTAGATATCGTTTATACAACTTCACGACAACCGGGAACTCGGATCCGACTTTGAGCCAATCGACTCTAACCGATTTTCAAAAGCAGTGTCCAAGGAGCAGTGATGGCACGGAGCGAGTGGCATTGGACAAGGACAGCCAGTTGAAGTTTGACGTGAACTATTTCAAGAACGTGCGTGATGGGAATGGTGTTTTAGAGTCCGATCAAAGGTTGTGGGGCGATCCCACGACACGTGACATTGTACAAAAGTACGCGGGAACCTTACGAGGGTTGTTGGGACTTAGATTTGATTTTGAGTTCAAGAAATCCATGGTTAAGATGAGTAGCATTGAAGTAAAAACGGGTACACAAGGAGAGATTAGAAAGATTTGTTCCAAGTTTAATTAAGCAAGTGCAATATGGTAATTTTATATGTATTGAATAGTGTTATTGTGTATGTGAAAGTCGAAATGTTTGTGGATAACCCTTTTTAAACGGTATTGGATTGTAAAAGTTATCAGTTTAGTTATTGCGAGTAAAAACATAAAACCGAATAGGAAATTTATTGTTTGCCAAAAATACCCTCAGAAAGTCATTTTATTGGCTATCATGGAAGCACATAGTTGAAAGGCTATTAATGTCAATTGACGTGTCGAAACAATACCCATGAAAGCTCAACCCATCATCCACATATTTCCTCGTTAAACAATCCTCTGTTTTTGCACTTTCGACAGAAAAACTCATAAATTCAAGAAAAAGAAATGGAGAGCGCCCTCTTGTTGGCGCCCAAATTAGTTTCCAATCCAAGTAAGTATCTTTAAGCTTCAAAATCTTTCTGGGTTCTTTTAAATGGTTACGTTATAAGCTTCAAGAATCAGATTGTGAACTTAGGAAATCGAGAAACATTGAAATCGGGTCCTACTAAACCCTAATCTGATGACCCGAATTGTGTAAATAAAGCAAAGTTCTGTGAGTAATGTCGGTTAAGTGATTGATTCTTCATTCAGGCAGAGAATTTCGCAGCAATGTAAGGCAATTTCAGAGCTCATTTTGTGGCAAATCGATAGCTATTGTGGAATTTACGAGAACTGATGCATATACCAACCATAAAAGCATCTCTAAGATCACTTCGTTGGTAATTCTACTTCTCCTTCCAGTTTTGTGATTCGAGATTATGTAATCGTGAGGGTTTTTGTTGTTGAGGAGCTAAATATGTAAAAAAAAACTATCTTTTGTGTTTTTTTTATAGTTTTCACTTGGGAAGAAGAAGGTGAAGACAATCAAGAGAGAGACTGTTATCCCAGATCCAGATTATAGAATACCGATTGTTCTTCTTGGTTTGTACTGGTTCCATAATCTTTTCGTATGCCAAATTTGTTCATGTGATTAAAACCCTAAACCCCAAATCAATACAGGTTTTGCTGGGGGTTTAGTGTATGGAGATAATCTATTAGCAGCTGCTCCTGTTGGTCTACTTGGCTTACTTCTACTCTTTCAGGTGATCATATCAAGAATCGCAAATTAAAAAAATACTTTTGCCGTTTTTCGTTGTAATTATTTAATTATTTTCAGTAGTTATTAAACTATTATATTTTTCTTTGGTTAAATTGAAATACTTTGTATTTTTTTCTGTATTTCGCCCTAATATTAAACCGAGTAATTAGGAAAGCTGATTTTTTTACTATCTCTTTTTTTTTTTTAACAGACGACTAGAGTGAAGTTTGTCTTCGATGATGAAGCTCTGGTTTGTGCCTTAACCCTCTTTATTATATTATCAACACATAAAATGAAATTTTTGATTTCCATTTATGGAAAACTAAATTTTAATTTTAAGTAAATCTTTAATTGCTTTTAACTAATATATGTCTTGTATTTTACTTACGATTGAAGGAAGTGAAAGTGGGAGAAGAGCTGGATGAATCGGGTGAAAATGTCTTTGTTGGTGGCAAAAACCGTTGGAAGTGAGTGTTTTTCTACTCCTTTTTTTTTTTAATTTAAAGTAGAAATAAACAAATGAGTAAAATAAACTAACATCGATAACAGATACTCATCATTTGTAAACTGGGAGCTTTGGTGGCCAAATTTCCCGATTTTGGTTTACTTCAAAGAAACACAAACAAAGCCTGAAGGACAAATCCACTTTTTCCCAGTGATTTTTGTGAGTATTTAAATTATATGAATATATTTGTGATTTTATAATAAACATTTATTTTTAATATGTTTTTTTTTGTGTGATAATTAGAATGGGAAACAGTTATACGATGTTATGGTGGAACGAGCGGGCCCTTCAAAGACTAGTGGCCCAAATTAGTAACATACTTAGATTTATTTGTTTACTAATACCATCATGTTTTCATTTCTTTTTATTATAGTATTGTACTATCAATTTTTTTCCTTATTAAGTAATTGTACTTTGAAAAAGTCTGTGCATTTATAGTATTGTATTTTCAGTTATTTCTTATTAGGACATTGTACTTTCAAAATTATATCTAAGTATAACAGCAAATATTGCTTTTTATTTGTGTGACAATATGACATTGCCATAATTTGGTAGATTTTTTCAAAACACAATGTTTTTACAGGAAAAAATCAAAGTATGATGCTATTTTTTTTTATTTGGATGACAATATGACATTGTGTATTTCATAATTTTAGGAAACAAAAACGTTTAACATTATGGAGAGTTAGGAAATGTTTTATTTCTATTGATTATTTAACTTAACACTATATATATATATATATATATATATATATATATATATATATATATATATATATATATATATATATATATATATATATATATATATATATAGGGTTAGGATTAAATGTGAACTCAAAATATTGTGTGAATGTGTGATCAAATTATGATCATTGGATTAAAAAAAATAATGACTATGGTTTTTGGGTGCATTGTATTAATGTAGGATAGCAATTACTATATAATTACATTCAATTAATTCTAAGGTTATTAAAGAGTAATTATGACATTTTATTAAATGAGATAAAAGAGAAGTAACTATATTTTAGGAAAGTAAGTCAAATATATTAACAAAATCCATATTATTATTTTCAAAACCAAATCACAGAAAATCACGTTTGAAAATTTTGCAATGTTTTTTTATACGATAATCACATAAAACGAAATAGATTTCATTCTTTAAAAATTACTTAGTTTCATAACATATTTCTTACTATAATAATTACACGATTTCACTATTAGTTTTAAAAAAATATTTACAAAATGTTTTTATACAATGTTCAGAAAGTACAAAATTAAAGAATTGAACGGTTGTATTCTTTAAAAATCAAGAATTTACTTGAAACTTATTTCATTCTTTAAAAATGCATTGACTAATAAATATTTTTGACCTACTGTCGTAAAACTAGTAAGATATGTGGGAAAAAAATTTCATTCTTTTAGAACGATCCATTAATACTTTATAACATATATTTTTTTAAATTATATGCAATATTCTTTTTACACATATTCATCAAAACTATAGAGCAACTAAAAATTTTTGAAGAATAACAAAATATTATTTTTACAAAAAAAACATATGTTACAATGTGTAACACAATCTTAAAGAATATGCAATAAACTAATATATTCTTTGTATGAATTCTGAAAGAATGAACATTCGATTCGGCACTATATCTGAGTTTTAGTCACCAACTTTGTTGATACGTATATAAAAGAATTCAATTTAAACTACATACCAAAATTAGAGGAGCAAAGTTAAATGAAATGAGTTACAATAATTATAAAATTATAACGGAAAATGCATTTATTGATTTATATGTTAATTAGTATCATACCTTTTTTAAATGATTGGTCAAAAATTGGTTATACAATCACATAATATATAGTGTTTATATATGAACCTAACTCTCTCTCTCTCTCTCTCTCTCTCTCTCTCTATATATATATATATATATATATATATATATATATATATATATATATATATATATATATATATATATATATATATTCTAATAAACAGTATTGCAAAACTCGGCCTACTCGGCCGATTACTCGGAATCGACCCCCCACCGAGGCGAGTAATGTCAACTCGGCCAAAAAAACTGAGATTTAGTCAAAATCGGTCAAAAATCAGTCAAACTCGGTCAAAAATCGGACAAACTCGATCTTACTCGGGCCTACTCGGTCAAACTCGGCCAACTCGGTCAAACTCGGTCAAAGGGTCAAAATTGTCATAAAAAGAGAAAAAAAATCAAGAATTTCAAGATTAATATGTATAATGCACTTAATGATTTTTTATTTAACACAAACATGTGATTATTACTACATACATATCTTAAATTTTTAGGAATTATCCACGGAGTGAGACAGTTATGTGTATTTCAGTTTTTATGTATTCACATGTATCTAATTTTGGTTATATATTTCAATCAAATTATGATTTTAACTTATAATTTTGACATATATAATTTTCCAAAAAATATTTCTAAATGAATTACCGAATCCAAGTACTCCCGAGTACTCGCTACTCCCCAGTCGGCCGAGCACATACCGAGTAGCGAGTTCTACAACCTTGCTAATAAATGAAGGGTTTTTTTTACCACATGTCACATTTTCATTCAATTTGTTAAATGTCATTTTGTAATTATTTTGAATTAATTTCTTTTCCACATGTTGTTTTATGGGTTTTTCTATTTTAATAAATTCCTTATAATACTTTAAGATAATAATTACAATAAATGTAGTAATAAATGAATATCAATTTCATTAATGGACTTGCATTTTAATTTCAATATTCTCAAAATTAAACCTCATTAGTTTTTTTGTTTATTTATTTAAATTATTTGTTTAAATTTAAAGGGATAATAACTTAAAAGGGTAATATATTTTTCGATTTGTACATATTTGGTCATTGAGTTTGTTTTGTCAATTTTTCGATTTATACACATTTAGTCCTTATGAGCTGCTATTCTAGGTTAGCCCGTTAAAATGACTTAATATGGTAATGTATTTCTCACTTTGTACACATTTAGTCCTTTTTTGTGCAAAATAATTTATTTTTGTTTTTGTACTCATTCAGTATTTATGAATGATTTATTTAGGTTTTCTCACAACATCTTACGTGGAACAATCATTAATGAGATGTTTTGGGCTTTTGATGCTTATGTCTATCGCGATCTCGACAACTTGGTTGCTTAGTTCATGTGTTTTGAATGTCATAACTTTTTCTAACTATGTCAGATTTTAACGATCTTTATATCCATGTGATCGTATTTTAGTCTACTACAACTTTCGTTTAGATTACTCTCATTAAAAAGTAATATATTTTTTACTTACAATCTTTATATCCATACGTTTTTTATGAATGCATGAATGGATGTTTTTTTATAAATAAAATATATTATATTTTAACGGGAGTAATCGTAACGAAAGTTATATTAGACTCAAAAAATGAACACGTGAATATAAAGATCGTTAAAATCAGATATCATATGAAGAAGTTACGATGTTTGGAACACAAAACCTAAGTCGAGCCACAAAACTTATGCAACCAAGCAGTCGGGGTCGCGATTGACATAAGCATCAACAGCCCTAAACACCTCATCAATGATTGTCTCACGTAAGATGTCGTGAGAAAAACCCTAAATAAATCATTCATAACTACTAGATAGTACAAAAACAAAAAGAGACTTATTTTGAGAGAAAAAAAAAAAAGTTTTAAATATGTACAAAAATATTAAGGATTAAATGTGTACAAAATGAAAAATATATTATCCTAATAAGTCATTTTTCCCGGCTAACCTAGAATAATCGGTCATAAGAACTAGACGTATACAATTTAACAAGTTGAATGGGTAAATATAGACGAAAAAAACTCAATGACCAAATATGTACAAATCGAAAAATATATTACCATTTTAAATCATTATCCCAAATTTAAAAGATAAAAAACATTTTCATTATTTTTCTTATTTTCTTATAAATTCAAAATTCTCAAATATTTAAACATTTATATTTTAAAAAAAATAACTTAACTCATATAATACATAGATCTCACAACTAATTCGGACACACACATGATGAAAGATTAATCCCTTGGTAAAAAAAATTGTACGTTCATTGTCATTATGTTGAAGCTCAAATGGAGCTACACTCTCGATTTTACAACACTTCACCTTGTATTTGGTTGATTAAGATTTGACGATACTTTGATGGAATTGTGTTATAGAGCACTGAATTGATGAAGGAATGGGAAGATGTTTGTTATGATGGCTAACTTTGAAAATAGATTGTCTAGATTGGAGTTTTCAAAAATACTACGTAATTGTTGTTTTAATCAAATGTCGGATGTATCATATGGAATTGTGGTTAGAGTGTTGAATATCATTCTTTAGCTTTGCAACCTTAGAAATTGAAAAATGCATTGGTGCTATTATATATTACTTTTCAAGAACCTAAACTTATATCCACCTAACTTGACAAAACTGACACCATTTTTCACCACACAATCAATCACATACAGCTTCTTAATACACATCCTAATATGCCATACAAATACAATAATTCCAGCACCATCCCAAGGGCATAAAAGGAAAATCACCCCCTCTCAGAATCTAATCTTTGAATCGTCAATTCCTTGAGAGAAGTAACTAATCTCTGGAACACCTTCAGGTTATGACCCACCTTATCCTTCACCAACAACACCCATTTATTTATTAGCATTATTATAAAACTAATATCCCATGTAACAATAATAATAATACTAAAAATAAATACCTCTCTTAGCACTTCAAGTCTTTCTAAAATTGGAACCAGTTTTGAACAAAATGAATTTAGGTCTTCTCCAACATCTCCATACGTAAGTGCCTTAAAAGCTTCACTGGAATCAGATAGAGAGCTACAAAGAAAAAAAAAAAAAAAAAAGTGTCAAATCAACTAAATATTAAACACAATGTATTTTCACTAATTCATGAATATGAAAGAATAAATATTAAATACCTGTTTTGAAAATGGATGAGGAAAATGTTGAGCAAGTTTTCTGCAAGCAGAAGCACCAAAGTTATAAGCCGATCCCTGTTTCCTGCTACCCTGCACATTTCCACCATTGCAACATATCTCCTGCAAAACCATGTAAAATAAAGTGTTAAATGCAAGAAATAGCAACCTACTTTCATTTATTTGTTTATATAAATATAATGCCTTAATAAGGAAAAAGAAAATGAAAAGTAGAATGCTATAATATTTCAAAGTACCTTTTCTGAATGTTGTCTGAGGATGCAACTTGACCTTCAAGAGCACACATGTTAATAATTTCATCCACTTCTTGTCGTGCTAATTCATTTATATCTTGAATCTGAGCCACAAAACGAATCAAATCCAGCTGTTTGCTGACGTGGCAATAAAATATAAATCTATCATTAAGAATAAGAATAGTTAGTTAGTTACCTTGTTAAGTAATATAGATTTTTCCTCTGCAGCATTTTCAAGGGCAGTGGTCACCGTGTTAAGAAGAAAACCAAGTAGGCTTAATGTCGGTTGCTGCTGT